TTTTCTGTGCTAAATATCTGAAAATTAATGATAGATATTTCGAATATTTTGGAACATTAAAACAATTTTTTTCAACATTTTGGGATTATACTAGACAATTATATTTATCCCACGAAATAATAAACAATGATCTATAAGAATTTATAACAAAAAATAGGTAATGTTGAAAAAAAAAATGATTTTGATATTCATTTAAAAAATTTACTTAAAAAGAATTTTTTTCTACTTTGTCCACTCCACAAGCTAAACAATTCTATGAAATTAATTTTTCGAAAAAATGATTATTCAAGATAACATTTCAAGAACGATCATAAATCATCTTGTATATCATCTTCTTACAATCGTCTTGTATATCATGTTCTTACAATTACAAAAATACTTATAATTTCTATGTTCAATATTACAATAATATTAAAACTTTCATATCTGTTAACTAATAATTTATTAATACGGACATGCTGTAACTAATTAGATAATTCTAATGCCTGTGTCACACTACGCATTGAAGACTGAAGATTGCGAATTGAGGATTAAAATTTAGCCAATTAGAACGAAACGGATTAAATCAAAATTATCTGATTTTATTTAATTCTAATTTAATTTTATTTAAATCTGATTTAATTGAATTCTAATCTTTAATTCGCAATCCTCATTCTCCAATGCGTAATGTGATGAGCATAAAGCACACTTACTGCTATGAGAAAACATATGTCTGTTGAGCTTATTCTGCTGAGGAAAAGCCTTGTCACAGAGATTGCACTTGTATGGCTTATACCCTCTATGGACTCTCTCATGATACTCGAAATGAGAGCGTTTGACGAAGCTCTTGTCGCATAAGGTACATTGATAAGGTTTGATACCTGTTACACAGGCATCATGATAGCATTTGTCCTTCTTGTTGCGAAAGATCTTACCACATATGTTGCACTTGTATCTTTCTGGAGTACCTGGCAGTATTGTTATATGACTACGATTACGACGTTTGACGTTTTTGTTTTTCTCCACAACCTTCTTCTCGCTGTTTTTCGTTTTTGCCTGATCGTCCTGTAAAAATATGATCCATCAGCTTGCGCTGCAAACAATTGCCATTCTGTTTTTCTAATAGATTATTTTCCAATCGAGTTTTTAATTTAATATAAAGCACTGGGAGTATAAGTTACTACTAATAAATTTATTAAATTTAAATTAGAAATTTATTAAAACAAAAACAGATCCTACTCGTTATTGAAAACACAAAAATTAAATATAATTTATATATTACTAAAAAATAAATAATTAGTTCTCCCAATGTAAATTAAATTAAACAAATTATAAGAACTTGATTGGAAAATAATCATTAAAAAAATAAAATGAAAATTATTTGCTGTACAAGCTGATAGACATTATAATGAATGAATTTACAAAATCTTTATATAAATGAAATATATAATTATAAAAAAATTAGATTGGTATCTACATTTTTTACATATTGATTCTGGAAATTCTGCGAATCATGATCATTGTCATTTCTTAAATGGTTCTCAATGTTCAATGCTACATTATAAGATTCTAGTCTTGGAATGTATATTTCGCTGGAATTGTCATTAGTGACTGTGTGATTAGTGACTGTGTCATTGGTGACTGCGTCATTGGTGACTGCATCATCTGTTACAGATCCATAGGTTTCTTCGTTGTTGTCAAAAGTGATGTTCTGGTAGAGATTTGACGATCCGCATTCGGCAAAGTTTGAATCTGAATGATTTTCCTTAGATTTGGAATCCTTGTTGATGACTAATTCTAATGGCAATACAACCACTTCATGCGGTAATATTCGTGTATCACTTTGTTCTTCGTTTATAATGTGTGGCTCTTCTGCATTATCAAAAGTTTTATTATAAGATAGAAAGAACTCAAACCACATAAAATCAGGATGGAAAAGATCTGACAAGGACAAAATTCGAAAGCTGTTTTGGTCTGTTCTTTCTAGCTGAATTTTTTGTCTCTTTAACATAAAAAGGAAAAGAGAGAAAAGATAGACCAAGAAAGATAGGCAAGAAACAGCTAAAAAGAACAGCCTTTTTTTTTCATTTCAACAATCCTAAATACCTTCTCTTTGAACACAGTGTTGAGTTTCACAGATTTTACATCCATGCTCCTCATATAGCAAGCACATTCGGCACTTGGTGTGGCCACAACTATCTTTCACAAGCCTTGAGAAGGATGCGTTTGTAGGTTGCTCGCAATTCGGGCATGTCTCGCTTGTTGTAGCACATCTTCCTAATTCCTCGAGAAATATCATACTCTGTTTTTCCCTGCAGCATGTACTCAAGACTTGTAATACTTGCTTAAATAAATCTAAAAGAAAGATATAGTTATACCAAATAATTTATACATGATAGAATAGCATACATTTTGACAACAGTGGATTTTGTTAATAGATGTGTATGTAACAATCTAATTATTTAGCGAATTTTTAATAGCTTTTGAATAGCATAACTCCAATCTGAATTTTGCTCAAAATAAGAACAAAATTAGAACGTATTGTTTTACAACAATGACAACAGAATATTTTATTAATAATGAATTATATTGTTCCATGTGTTTTTAATTGTTCTTAAAGATTTGGTAAAAACAGTCAATTATGAATATCATACATTAAGGCTCGGTTCCATAAATATAAGATTAATTTTAATCTCAGTTTAATTTAACATTTATCTTCATTTAATTCTTAGAATTAGAGAAAGATAAATAGTAAGTTAAATTGAGATAAAAATTAATTACATTTGTGGAACCGGCTTTATAGTTTTTCAATACTTTATATATATATATATATATTGACTTACATTTATATTTACATACGTGATGTATATAATTATATCAAATATTTTTTATTTACTAACTTAATTAATAACAAAAATCTACGTTCTGCTCTACGTTCATTCTCGTACTTTACTCCATTCCATCTCTTTAATTCTTTTTCCTTTAATCAATGTTGCCAGACCATTTTGAATATTTTCCCCTAACGCGTACTTTTTAAAAATCCCCAACAGCTAGAAATAGAAATCTCTTAAATATTCCTCTAGAAAATGTTCGCCAAAAATTTCTATATTTAAAAAGAAGATAAATAATAGACCTGTTTTTTTATGACTGTACTAGAATTTTCTTCCTCCTTTCGCTGAATATAAAGCCGGCGGCACACGATGCTTGTTTTCCTACTGGATTGCTAGCTGGATTAGAATCTTGCCACCGTATTGGATGTGATGCTGTCAGTGCCAGCATCGCAGGCAATACAGTGGCAAGATTCTAATCCAGCTAGCAATCCAGCAGGAAAACAAGCATCGTGTGCCGCAGGCTTTACTTATGGATACATAAGTAAAAATCTCATACCAATTATATGTTATACATTAATGCATATAAAAATGAACCAATCAAAGTTCTTTATTTCCTTATTATCCATGAAATAAGGAACTCTATTATTTGAATTTCTTATATCTTATGTGTCATATTTTATGCAAGACTATTTCAACTTCTAGACTTAGCTAATTTTATCAATTAATCACCATCGAGGCTATTAAAAAATGATAAAATGTCTGAACAAAGACTCCAGCCTTACGCAGGTTACGCCGCATGTGACGGCATCCCGGACAGAGAAAAAATTAACAAATCACATTTGAACAATTTGATCACATGACCATGGATTAATGGCGTTTTGCGCTCTTCTATTGGTAGAGCGTGTGACATCAACCAATAGGAAAGATTAATCCAACCCAGGTTGGTGCAAACCCGATCGGGCCGAAAACGCTATAAGAGAATGATTCTGTGATTGGCGATACGCGAATCCGCTTACGCACGATCCGCTGCATGGGACATCACCCTAAGCGTAACCTGCGTATTCTAGTAATTTACTAGAATACATTATTTTTTATTTACTAGAATACGCCATTCTGAAAGCCGGCATTCACATTGGGCGTATTTCGCGGAAGATTAGAGAAATGCGGAACTAATGCAACCAATTGCTGATTAGAATTTTTGTTGTACACTCTAAAGAAATGCTAAACGAATTTACGATTGGTTTTCGTAACCTACGCCTCATGGGGAATCGGCATCTTTCCATCGCATATATAGGAGCGGATGATCGAATAAATTATTAAAATTGGAAAATTTTGTGAGACCACTCTTAAGGCCGCAGCACACACTTTTGCATAACGCATAGTGCATAGTGCATAAAGGAATTAACCAATCAAAATTCTTCTTTTTCATGGAACGAGAGGAAAGGAAAGATTCTGATTAGTTGATTCGCTTATGCACTATGCAAAAAAAAATGCGTAACCCCGGATCTACAATAGGTGTTTTAAGCCTTAAGCCATAAGAAATGGGCGAATCACAGTCGCTTATTCTTCTCGGATTCGACTGTAAGGCCTATCGCACATGAAATGCATAACAGAGCATAAGCATAACATAAAACTGCTGGACCAATGAGCATCTAGCATAATGTCGCCATATTGATTTACATAAGATGCTCATTGGTTTAGCGGCCTTATGTCATGGTTATGCTCTGTTATGCATTTCATGTGTGAAGCCCTTTAGTCCGCTGAATGCGCCCATTCATTAGGTGCATCCAGAAGCACGACCGCTCATTGAGCGCTCATTGAGCTCTTGTATCTGTTTGGTCTATATTTTTCGATCTAATGGAATATGCCAATCAGATGCAAGAGCTCACCGAGCGCTCAGTGAGCGGTCGTGCTTCTGGATGCACCTTGTTATGCCGAAATCACAGCCGAAATGTTGAGTCTCCACAATTGTTTATGAAATTAATTTTTAATTGATGGTGCCGCAACTAATACTTAGTACTACAAAATTCCTTCGTAGTACCCTTTCGTCTCGGTGGAGGAGGAACCCTAAGAAAAAAATTACGAAATAGCAGCCAATGTAAATCATATGTAATTAGTGAATGAGTAATTTAGTTTGTAGTGTGCTAGCTTGTAGTGTGTTTCTACTAAATACGCTACATTTGAAGCAATTTTCTATAGGAAAATCGACAACAGAGACATTTCACAATTTCATTTCTTTGGAAAAGGATTACTGTGACCATCTACGAGAGTAGATGTACAAAAAATGTGCTTTTAAAAAAAGAGAAGTCCTAATGAAACGGTATTATTCATGAAGGCTGAAGAAAACGTTTTAGCATCTTCATTAATTCAAAAAGGATTATAAAGATAGTATTGTATTTCTCCAAGAATAATTAAGAAAACAAAAAAACATGGATCTGCTGTATATCGTCAACAGGAGGAGTTCTTTCAAATTTTTTTCCAATCAAGAATGGTATATTTTTTGAAGATATAAGGCTTGGTTTTTATTTCTGCACTAGATTGCACTAAAACTTTTTTTCTCAGCTTCATCAAATGTCAAAATATATCTATTTCACTTTATTCTAAAAGTGTATACTAGTTCAGCTATAGAAAATAGACCTGTAAATAGAATATTTTATAGCTAATATATAAAATTTTGTATAACACTCGAATTAATTAACAATTTGCTTTTTCAGTTTATACAATGGACAATCGTTGTGTTCCTTATCCAGTCGGAATATAGTGGCGTTTACTACAATGACAGAGTTAGATGACAGCAGTGGCAAGACACGGGGTTGCCATGTTTATGTAGCAGATTTAAATATGCCATGGCATGCTCATAAGTAAGCACTTTGCTCATAAGTAAGATCCTTTAAATTATCTTTGCAATATTCTTTAAAGAATATTACAATATATATCTTATCTAATCCCTTATTAAATGTCTTTGTCAATTTGTTTTTAAAAAGCCAGCAAGTCAAGATAAAGCTGTAATAATAAATGTTTCTTGTATTTATCTAGAGTACTTTCAAATAAACACAACATTACTGCATTAGAATGGGATCTGCCTGGTGACAAATTGGTAATGGCTGATACAGCTGGAAATGTACAGTTATGGATATTCAAGGATCATATTTTGAATGATTGGATATTGATAGGTTCTGCATATTTCCCTGGTGAGCACATACTAGGTGCAGCATGGTTTCACAATGGCAAAAAGGTATCTAGATGAACAAACTGATGAGATTAGACAATAAAGTTTTTTTTTTACCTGCACAACCAGGACAGAAACTATATTAGATTATCATTTTATTATTGTTTTATTATTGTTTTACTACATTCTTAACTAGTGAACATTTTTCTCTGAATTTTTCATACGATTTTTCAGAATTCCCTGGTAGAAATAAATCAGAGATCATTGAAAATTGCTGAAATCTATGTCAATTGATCCATTTCATACTGAAATGAACCAATTGACATAGATTTCAACAATTTTAGGGATTTATTTCCACCAGGATTATTATATAAATTTCAGAATTTTTGAATGATTTTATAATTATTTTAAAAATTTAGAACATTTTTCAGAAATGCCAAGAAAGCATTTTTTCTAGATTTCTTCATATGAATTCTGAAATATTCTAAGATATTTCATTTTATGATTTGAGATAAAATGTATAAAATTTGAGGAAGTAAAGTATAGAGGAAATTATAGAATCACGTGAAAAATTATGAAAATTATGAAAAATTCTATGAAAAGAAATAGGCCGATATTCATAATCCGTTCTTATTTCAAAATTGTCTTAAATAATGTCTTAAGATGCTAATATGGCCTTCTGATTGATTCGTGACTTCTTAAGACTGTACTTAAGACGGTCTTGAATATAATTGCTATGAATACCATCCATAGATTTTCTCAGTATTTCTGAAAATTGTTTTAATTCGTCTAAAAATTTTAAGAAAAATTTTACCAGAGGAAGGTTTTAAAAGAATATTCATGTCACATGCAGATACATGATTAAAACTTGAAACAGATATATTACTTGTATAGTTTTTTCTTTTAATGTCTTTTATTAATTCCATAGACAGGCTTAGTAACAGAAAAGAAAGATAGCATCCATTATAGCGAGAAATTTAATCACCTACTGTTCGCACCTTCCGTGAGGCAATTCGGTGGAAGAGCCGCCGAAGGTGTGCTGGTGGTATCAACGACGGGCATGGTTGGCGCAATCATGATCACTAAGGATCTTCAAAATCCGATTTGCTATTCGACGGAGAGTCTAGGCAACACGAGACACAGGATAACTGCAGTCGATTTGTGCTATGGAAAAAGTACTTTTTCTCATGTCATAAAACTATTTGTGAATGCAGACGATACAATGACGATGTTGTGATAATTTGTTTTTCGAATTCCAGACGGCCACTTTCTCGTTGCAGTTAGTAGCGGTAGTATCTGCTTGCCTATAAGATGTTTTAGAGTGCTGGTGCGCAAGAATGATGACAAGTGCACTATCACCTCGCAAGCTTTACCGAGTTTTTTTCTACAAGATGGGGCACCTAAGGACAATTCATGTAAAACTAATGACTGAATGGTTTATAACAGTATAAACAGTTCATTTTTTATAGATACAATTTTTTTTTTAACTGAATTTACAGTTCCTCTTTCTTTTTTATTTCATGGATAGAATAGAAAAAAAAGAACTGTGTAAAAAGTTTAGCTAAAAAGCATAGATGTTTTATACTCTTTTGCAGGTACAGTCGTAACTCATTTAAAGTTTGTGGTTAGAGAAGATGCCGATTCTCTGGTTATTGCGGCAAATAGTGAGAGCGGTGGATTTGTTGAGGTGTGGGAGTTGCGAGAGAAGTCGCAACCGGTTCACAAATTATTTCAGCCAAAGACGTTAGAACCTTTCAAGACGGTTGTAAGTATTCAATTAATCAATATTTTTGTTTTTACAAGTAAATTTTGGCGTATGAGAGGTTTAAGAGTGGCAAATATAAAGAAATGAGACAAGACACATCTGATTATAATATTTAAATTAATAACGATCAAATAATATTTAATAGTTATATAAAATCTATGTTTATCAATGTAGATTAAGTTTAATCTCCGTTTAATTTACTCTTTATCTTTTTCTAATTCTTAGAATTAGAAGAAGATAAAAAGTAAGTTAAACCGAGATTACAGTTAATACACATTGATAGAAATAAATATAAATAATGTATTTGTACTATTATTAAATACTATTTATATATTTTTAAATAATATATTTATTTTTAATATAGATGTGTGATTACTTTATTCTTGGCATATAGGTTTGGCAATATCAGTCGCAGTATCGTTGCCAGTCACCGGTCACAGCGATAGCCACTACAAAACTATCCATAGTGACAACTTTACCGCCTCCCAGTTACGTAATAATAGCATTAGCGGACTCGTCGGTGCATTGCCTAAATCGTTTGGACTGTTTGAAGGAAGTGGCATTCTCATCCCTAAATACAAGCTGGCGTCCAGATGAGCCTAGCAACAAATACTTTAAGAATTCTGTATCTATCGCTCATATGGATCTTTCATGGCTGGGATGTGTACTTCTTGCGTGCGACACTCAGGGCAATATGTATCTCTATAAATTATTGCCAGATGGTACTACAGGTATACAACCAAATTTTCTTTATTTGAAATTAATTCATTAATATTCATTCTCTTAATTACAGGATATTTCTGCGAGATTGCGAATATGATCAAAACAATATATGTAATTTTGTAGGTACGTCGATGTCGCTAAGCTATGCCTGTACATTACTGGAGTATTGCTTGGTGACCGGATTGGATTGGTTGGACATACTTTTATGTCTGAGATCGTCCATGATTGAAGCATTGTGTGAGCGACTAGACGTTTCCTTTAACAGACAATTACAATCTACACAGCAATATCATTACATCCTATTTTTATCCATCAAGACGTCGTTGTATAGGTGTGTAACTAGATACTTGTATAAGTGAAAAGGTGTTTTTGATATGAATAAATTTTCTTCTAAATTAGTTTTTAAATTGATTTAAAAAATAAAAAAATATCTCGGAGTTAGACTGAAGAAGTGCGTTTGAAGATCTTTTTAGGAATTGGAGTGATATGAAAAAGATTATCTCAAATTACAAACCAGAAAGATTAACGCTTGCAATTATTATTTTCAGAATGCTCGTAACAGGACAGAACAAGGCGGCGGATTTGTCATCGTTACTGATGATACATTCGGTAGCTACTGCCTTCAAATCTTTACTGAGACCATCAGACCTGATATCCCACGATAAAGGGCCAGCGGAAAGTTTAGCCGTGGTGATAACTGATGTCATTACTGATGTTGATAAGGTATTGAAATCAAAGTTCTACTTCAAGCATTTTCGACTAGCTGAATTTCCGTGAATCAAATTTCTCATCCTATTCTTCTATTACTTTCTTTTCCATTCAATAATTTGCCGTAGAATAAAAATGACTAATGAAGCTTAGATATAACATAACAAAATATGACATTAAATACATAATACATAATTGTTTAATATTTAAATATATAATTGTGCTTTACAACAAATTAAAACTTTAATAGTTAATTGAAATAAATTACTTATTTACTTAATGTTTTATTTTAGGTGTTGCTGCATCTCGATCCAAAAGAGTTTACGGTAGAACCGAGCACGTTGCAATCGTTGCAGCAACTTATTCAATGGGTTGCTGACTTAGCTTTGAACTTGCTGGCCAGATTACCTGAGCAGAGGATGCAAGTGAAGACTGGTGGGGTAGGTACTTCTAGCGAATCTAACTATTGTTTCCGAAAATTACAAAACAATCCTTAAATCTAGGTTTTTATGTCTATTTCTTCTAATATATTTTTGTGAATAAATAATTTTTTGTGGCACCAAATATCTGTTATTGAATTTATATTGGGTTTCATATAATATAAAAATAACTATAGCTTTCTATTAAAATTAATTAAAATTATCTTCATATTATCTTTCATATTAGCTTTAGTTTATTATTTTGTTTTGCAGTATGAGCTTCTTAAGGATCACAAGGCCTTGAATACCGTTCGGGAGCTGTTAGTCATCATACGTATATGGGGATTACTCCGCCCGTCGTGTCTCCCAGTGTTTCTTCGCAGCGCAGATAACCTGGACGTTTTAGCCTTACTATTTTGTTTGTTATCAAAATTGGTACAACCTAATGGAGATACGCAGCAACAGGTGGACGATGGTTTGATTGGTACATACATTTTCTTGAAATTTTTTAATAGTGAATATAAGGATTAATTGACAATGAGTATAATATTATTTTTATTTATTGCAATATGAAACTCTTAATAACTTAATTCTATGAAGATTAATTAAAAAAGATAAGATTGATGTCTGATACATTTTTTGTCATAATTGAACAATCAAGTTAAAAAAAATTATTTTGTTTCGCTGTAATATTTTTTCTATTTGATTTTATTTAAAAAAATTTATGTCTAAAAACGATATTAATTTATAAATCTCACAGTCCAAAAGCAGACAGATTTGATTGCAAATTGAATTCTTGTCGTGTATTTGATTATTACTACGACTTGTGGTCAGGAAGTCTGATAAAAATACCACATCCTGAATAATTTTGATATACCATATTAGCAGTATTAAATGGTTCGCATTATGCGTAACAGTTCTGCAGTAATATAATCGCTCAATAATACAGCAGCAAGTACATGGATCAGAAGAATTGCAAATAATATATAATACTTTGTGTGTGACAGTTCAATTATTACATTTCTCTTTCAATACAATACAAATATAATAATAATAGGATAGTACATTCTAAGAAAAATACGTACAAAAGGAAAAAGTGAAATCCATCGAGTCCATGAAGATATAATGACTACCAAGCTTGCGATCAAGCATAAAGACTCCCTAGTCTTGAAGGAAAACAGACTGCATGAAAAGAATTACACGATCCAACAGTCCAGGCTGAAGAGATGCGAGCACCTATCACTTCCTTGGTCAACCTTGAGCGTATTCGTGGTCTACTGGCTCGTCTTCTGTCCTCTAATTTGGGCCATATGTTACAAATTCGCATACTGGCCTTCGTATTGGTCCTTTCTCTTCTGGGCAGTCGCGTTTCTAATCTGGATCGTGATCATGTGCGGATTAATAATTTTCTGGAGACGTTTCCAAGTTGAACAAAGCTTTAAAATTAATGCGATCTCGAAATATGGTTCGGATAAAGAGAGGAGACCCCTGAGCGTTCATCAGATATTATCTGAAGACTCGAAATTTCTAGGAACGAAGAAATGGAATGATTTTCACGAATCAGAATCTAAGATCGTTCGAGAAAACCTCAGGAGGGATCTGCCGCCTTTGGTGATACACAAACAAATATCAGGTGAAAACATCGAAGATACTGATGGAGTGGTGTGTGTCGAAGAAAATGAGAAAACTCACTTAAGCATCGCTGGTGATTATGCTCAGAAAAGTCCCCTGCAGGATTATCTGAAGCTGGTAACGGTATCGCCCTCGGAGGACGAGGTAAAATCCCCGAAGACGCCTATGTCGCCGAGGGATTTATTCTTCATCGATCTGATCCACGAAGCAGAGAGGGCCGAGAAATCGTTGAAAACTGGAACGCATTTCTTCCCGAGCGAAACAACTGAGAATGATAGTGCGGAAACCGTGAAAAGTATAACGAATGGAACGGATATGGAGAACGTAGAGCATAGAAAGGATGTAAAAGATACGAAGAATGAGAATGTAAAGGACAAGGAGGATAATAAATTGAAGTCAAAGCGCGAATCAAGTTACTTCATAGCTGACGTGGAGAGTCCAACAAGTGAGAAAACAGAGGTCTTCCTTCAGATCGATTCAAACGTGGACGAAAAGACTGGATTAATTGTGGAGAAACCGATGATAATATTGCAATCCAATGAAGCACATTCGCAAGAAACCTTCACTTCACCAGTTAATTAAATTGCCGGAGACAATTACTTACGCAGTAAACGAAAATGGATTGAAATGGATTGGAAATTTTCAATCCATCTGAATCCGTATTTTAAATCCATAAAAATGGATTGGATTCCATATAAAAAATTTTTATATATGTAAAAGTTTAAATAAATCAAAATAGTAATTACATGAAATTCTATAGTTTTATATTATTTTAAAACTTTTATACAAAAAATATACGCTAGCTGTATAACAAAAGAAACGTGTTAATATAAAATATACATAAAAGCAATTAATTTATTAATTAATAATAAGGAATTTATATATGTAACATTTATTGTACATATTTATGTAATCGTCCCCCCTTTGTTTCTTTTAACTATTAAATGAAGGAGAATTCATGATATATTTTTACGGTACAACTTTTTTTTAGTTCAGTTGAATTAAAACGAAAAATTTCTTATTTATAATTCTGAATAAAATAGTATTCATAAAGCACTTTTAAATAAAATAATGGATTTTCTACTCACAATTTTGAATTGAATACTCATTGAATGAGTATTCATTGTCTATTTTAAAAGAAAACATTTTTTTATTTAATTGGATTAAAAAACTGTATTTCCTATTCAGAATTTTGAATTTAGCAGTATTCACGATGTACAGAAATGGCTGATATTATTTTTAGATTCAATTGAATTGAAAAACTGTATTTCCTATTTAGAATTTCAAATTAAGCAGTATTCACGATGCACAGAAATGGCTGATATTATTTTTAGATTCAACTGGATTGAAAAACTGCATTTCCTATTCAGAATTTTAAATTAAACAGTATTCATGATGCACACAAAATATTATAATATTATTTTTAGATTGGAAAGCATAGAAATATACTCCATGCCATTTCTATAAATAAATAAAAATGCATTCAAGATTGAAAAGGAATAAACATTTGTTTCATGCAATTCCTATAAATGAATAAAAATATATTCAGGATTGAAAAGGATTCTAACATTCAAAAGGATTTTAACATTCATGAATCCGTATTTCTCTGATCTAAATCCATTTTAATCCATTTCAATCCATTCTCGTTTGCTGGGTATAACAGTTAATTAAAGAGTTTGAGAAAGAAATGTACGATCTAAACCAAGAAAAGAGTTGAAGTTTTGTTCAAGGAAAAGCTGCTGTATAAATATAAGATACTGATATACTGATACTGATCTACAAAGAAATGATAAAAGTGTTGGATAGTGTTAAATCTTTCTACCTTGTTCTCTTCTACAAAAGTTATGATTATTATCACATATAACTATTTATGTACATTATCAGATACTCAAGATACATATTTTATCAATTTGGCATCAACAGTACTTATATTTCTGATGCTGAAAGTTTTGAAGTAAAGACTCCTTTCAGATGAATGCTGCCTGCTGCCAAATCAGATCATGATTCCACAGTTGCATCAAGGCAACAGTATCACCGCTATAGTCTCCCCGATTTTGTTTTATCAGAACCTCCCATTACAGGTGAGAATTGCTTATTCATACAAAAAGAGAATATTGTTAGAATCATTTCTATTAAAAATATTCAAAATTGTTTGTTAATTTATATACATATGTATTATGCATGTATATTTATTTACTATTATCATCTTGTGATTGCAGCTGGAATATGGAGTGGAACCTGAACAGTTGGTTTTTACGCCTGAAATGAATCTCGTTGAAGGTTGTATGCACAGCGGACAGATCGTGGACACGATACGACATTTGTATTTAGGAAGGCAGCCGCTTCTGGTGAAGCAATGCACAAGGTATTATTAATTCATAAATTATATCGATTATCAACTAGTAAAAAATATATAAAAAGATGTATAATATGTATTAACGATCCATAACAATACAGGGTGTCCCAATAACTATTAGCACCTGAAATATCTTCGAATCTATAAGGTCTAGATGAAAATTTGTGTAACCAAAATTGCATAATATGAAGAAATCTATCATATGGCGATAATAATTTTTGTCTAGGTGGAGGCGCTTCAAAGATTTCAAGGTCAATTTTATTTTTTTAAATGGAATTATATGATTTTTTACGTAATATGATTCCTCTAGTTATTCTGCGTACAAAAGTCTCAAGATAAAAGTATCGAAAAATTAATACTTTACGAGATATTTTATACTTTGTTCTGGCATATATTCACATAAAATGTTAAATAATTGATAAATTAATAATTTTTTGATACCTTAATACTTTTATGAACAGAATAATAAGATGAATCAATTGGTATAATTGGTATAATAAAATATCTCGTAAACTATTGATTTTTCGATACTTCTACCTCAATACTTTTATACGCAAAATAACTAGAGGAATCATATTACATAAAAAAAATCATATAATCCTATTAAAAATAATAAAATTGACCTTGAAATCTCTAAAGCGCCTGTACTTCGACAAAAATTATTATTGCCATGTGATAGACCTCCTCATATCGTGCAATTTTGGTTATACAAATTTTCCTATAGATCTTATAGATTCGAAAATATTTCATTTCAGGTGCTAATAGTTATTTGGACACCCTATATATCGATGGCTTTATATATACTGATTAAATACGAAGGAGCGCCAATTATGACCAAAGTTAGATATTAGACTCTAATACATATATATTAAATAAATTTATCGACTTATATAGGGCAGACAGGTAGGAAATAAAAAACTCGTGTAAACGAACATATAAATCACATTAATAGAAATACCACCACGCTATTAGTAATTACAGAAAAATGAATTTAAACCATGATTTTGAGTGGAATAATGTAACAATTTTGGACAAAGAACATTTCTTAAATAAACGCTTCATTTTGGAGATGTTTTTTCAAACGATAAAAGAACAGTTCGAATTTGCAAACTGTTGTGAGTATTGCGAAAAGAAATGGTACCGGATAACCAGGTCTACTGATGACGTCAGAATTATAACGAATGTACACGAGGAGTCAGAAGGTGTTGGAAAGAGTAGAGACTTAGAGCGATGTACAATGAGATGTACTGCTGAGCTTTATTCGAGAACAACTGAACGTCGTCGTTAAGCGATAGACATACACAAATACCGATAGGTAACCTTCGCTTCGCGAGAAAAGAAAGAAAGGTTGCGAATGTATACATATGTGACGCGAAGTAAACAGCTGATAGGTAGAAACCAGTAGAAACACTGTCACGAATTCTGACCGCGTCGGTATCGATAATAAGCGTGGAATGAACGGAATAGCTGTCGATAGAAATAAACATTGAAATTAACTCGATAACGAGCACGAGTATTTAACATGAACGATTTATAGAATTTTGAAAAATGCTATGACGATCTGAACAGAATTAGCGCACTGAATTTTTACTGAGTTTAGTCCAAACACAAATGGACACTGAATATTTACATCATTCATGTTTCTATTTTAAACAATTTATGTACTGATTTTTAATGCTTGTTGTATCTATATGTTTGTACTTCTATATTTATGTTTAGTGTCCATTGTTTAATTTGCCATTCCAACTCCAAACATGTTACAGTACTCTTAATACTCTTGATTTATTTTAATTTTTGACAATTCTTTTGACGTTCATTCTTTCACGATTTATTATGTATTATTCAGTTGTAATTACTACGAGGAAACTTTTTTCATGGCACCGTTGAGTTATCCATCTATTACACATTATTTTAATAATTGAATATTTTGAACAAATCATTACATCGTCACTTATTGTTCGAATAAAATCACTCTGCCTACCAACCGCTTGTGACGGAATTTCGTTATATGCCTTGAAGAGCGAAACATTTAATATTGTATTTCAACGCTGAAGATGGCTCAAAACGGAGCCGAAATGTTCGTTTGTACAATTTAATTTGAATATAAATTTATAATTACGCGCATGGACAATTGCGTGTCGATTCTCATTAGCCCATTTTTTGTTGTGTTTGTAAAACTTGAGAGTCCATAATTCTTTATTTTTTAATATTATTTATATATATATTTTTGTTACATCTTTAGGTGCGGCGGTAAAGCGCAGGTACAGAACATGACGAGAACAGCTGCGATCAGAGCCTGGGATCAACGATGGACACGTGCTTGCCGATGCGGAGGTATTTGGCGAATTCACAAAGCCTCTCAATAAAGGGCACTTAGGAATTTTTGTAAAAAGTTTAGTTTGTCTGTTATAAACCGTGATACTGTGATCTTTTGGAGATCTATATCAAAGAAGATAGGAAATCTATAATATAAGAAGCGGAAAGGACTATGCTCAGTTTTATAGGAGAATTTGGGCCTCGGATGAACAACTTTGAGACATGCCTAAAATTTTAAGGTGTCAAAAGAGAATAAAAAATTCCATAAGCCTAACTTTATAGGAGAGGTTTTCTTGAGTGCTAAAACTATCTAAAGTTCGCTATTATGACCACTAGTCTTATTATCCATTCAATTTCTTTGCGTCCAGGGCACCTCCCCGCGGTAACGGATTGTACCAAAGATATTGAAGTAAATCTAAAATGTATTTGGCACAGTTCATTAATCCGACTAAGTCCCTGGTTGCAATTCATGCTGTCATATCACAGAAATTCGGATTTGCTTGTAATGACGGCGATGCCCCTGGAGTGGAAGATGGACAAGCGGTGAATGTACCAATCGGGGTAAACCAGCCTTTGAACGGGGTCACCCCGAAACAGCTACTGGTCGCGATGAAATCCACTGTGGACAATGTGGAAAATATTTAAAAAACAAGTCGCATAAACATTTGTTGGCTGGGGAAGTGCTAGATTTCTTGGAACAAAAGCCCCACTCAACACATTTAGATATACAGGGTGTTTGAAAATTATCGCGATTCCTGTCACGAGCAGATAGAACGGACCGAACTGAATCGAAAATTTTTATACCATTTTGTAGTTTGCGCAATAGTTAACGAGATATTAACGTTTAAAGATAGCCGAATAAGCGCGTCCGGCCGGCCTAAGTCCCAGCGGCCCGCACGCCGTGCGATCGGTGGGGACGGTAGGTTGTATATTTGGCAGCAGAGAGTAAGCCGGTCGGACGCGCTTATTCGGCTATCTTTAAACGTTAATATCTCGTTAACTATTACGCAAACTACAAAATGGTATAAGAATTTTCGATTCAGTTCGGTCCGTTCTACCTGCTTGTGACAGGAATCGCGATAATTTTCAAACACCCTGTATATGTCATGCTTGTTGGTGCCATTATAAAAGAAAACGTACTAAGAAATGAAAACGTTACAGTTAAAAATAATGGACCGCAGTCTCTTTATCAAATCAATTAAAATCTTTTGTTTCATACTTTGAGTGTCTCTCTCTCCCTTCTTCATCGATTAATATATATCACTTATAACTATTCATTTGGGATCCAAAAAAGGTTTTAGTTGTCTTCGTCAAGATTGGACATATTCCAGATACTAGATGATACGAGAAATCGAATAAAACCAGTCCTACATGGTACACAATACATGGTCATAATAGCGAACTTGACAACTGTAGCACTCAAGGGACTCATTTTACAAAATTGTGCATATGGAACTTTTTGATCCTTTTTTTTATGCTCTACAATCCTAGCTAGGTCTTAATGCTGTTCAGCCGGGGCCGAAACTGGGCATAGTCTTTTATATGACAGAAGATAAAATGTTGAGAGACATACACAAATATAAAAAGGAACTAAGAGCTAAATATTATGTGTATTCAAATGATCTACTTGCCAAGTTAAATCAGAAACTTATAATCTAAAGATATTTCATTTGTTTATATTTTTAAAAGCGAAATCTCCTTTGCAATGATTATTTTGTCCTATTTCATCAGTGAAAAGAATCTGCAATTTTTTTCCAATTCAAATAAAAATGGAGGAAAATGCGGGAACGATGTAAAATTAATTAATCATTAAACGGCGCGTTATTTACACGAATTACTTCATTAAGAAAGATAGAAAGTAAGTGTAATTGCAGACGAGCGTTTTAAAGTGAAATTAATTGTATAATACCTTGCTGAAGACTCATCCTTCGTATATTAAAGTAGTTGTAAATGTTTTCATAAATTTTAATAATAGATTTTACTTAAAATAAATTATTACTTTCGTGAACTAATAAATTATTACAAGTAAAATTATACAGTATTCAAATCGGATTTTATTGTTTGAAGTCTTGTTACAGCTATTTCTTTTTCCTCTTTTCTTCCATGCAAAAAAAACAATGGGGAATGTTAGTAGGCAAATTGAAATTCCTGATGTAATATCCGGTATATTATTGTTGCAGAAAAGTTGTTTAATGGCTTTCTCCTTTCTTGCCAGACACTCTCTTGAATTCTCCCATATTCGTAGTCGAAATTGGTGAGCCGATTACGACTAGATGATCGATTCTCGTTGTTTCTAAGCCATTCTGATTGTCTATTACAAATATTTGAAGATTTTGCACATTCTGGAATTTGACATAACGCAGCGGTATCGGATTTCCTTCCTCGAGGTCCTTAGTTGACAATCTGCACCGAAATCGCACATATTAATTTTTTATTTAAAAAGCAAAGTAAGTTATAAAGAGAAATTCTGTTCTAACATTATACTAGAAAAAATATCCTAAAAAAAAATTAAAAAATTTTAATTACATTCAGAGAAAAACAGTATGATAGCAACTATAAAGGCTTTATATGTAGAATTAATAGACGTAATTATAAAAACTATTTTATCGTTGCAATAATTAAAAATAGTTTATTCAACTATATTATAT